GAACACTCCCAAAAACATCTTCAAAGAACTCCCTCAGGCAGGGGCTCTATAAACTCTTACTTTCCTTGCTCTTTAAGTGATTGGCTAAATCATCAAACTTTCACTCACCCAAACACTAAACAAGGAGTTTAATCAACAGTTAAAATTATACATCTGCTACATGGTAGGCTCTATAAAATAATGAATGGAAAGTTATATATGAACAGGAAAATATTCCTGTCAAAAGGAGCTCATTATTTCTAGTCTACTTAAACACACAAAAAAAGGAGTTCATTATTTCTAGTCTATTTAAACAGACACAAAAATAAAACAAAATTTAGCAACTGAAATGTTAGAGACATAATGCGTGTTGTGTATTAAATGTTAGCAATTTAGACAGTTTGGACCAAAAAAATTCAGGCTCATTTCCAAACCACTAGTTATACAATAAATTTCTGGCAATATTCCAGACTCAATCGGGAAAGATCATTTTCCACAGTCCTGTATTCTCCTTGACTTAGTGATGTTATTGACATTTACTGTCCTCTAGAACTACTATCTAAAATGTAGGTTCAGCACACTTTGGCCTTGCCCTTGCAGCTTTTTCCTTCAAAACTCTATCTACTGTACATTCCATCTGACTTTGCTCCCTTGATTCCTAGCACCATCCTTTTTCACTTCTTCATGATTAGGTCGTTACTTTTTCTTTCACTTGGCCCCTTACCCATTCCTTCTTTCAGCAGTCTTTGCTTAATATCTCACAAAAGCCAAAATCTCTGGAACTATTGTGCAATCTTGCCTTAATGAGATATTTTACCATGGCCAATGGACACAGGAACAGATAGACATAAATGGGAACTGAAAAGATAAAGTTGCATGAAAGTTATCAGGGCAATACTGATGACTTGTAACAAAGACAATCAGTTCTATCCTGGATGCATACAATGTGGAATTCTGAAGTAGATCTCAACCTGTACAACTGAGATGCATCTTCATTTTTTCATGATTCAAGCAATCAATTCACAAGCTATCAGCATGTGTCTGTACCAGACTGACACTGGTAACAGTATTACAGGGCAAACTGTTGACTCAGAAGGATCCTTTGATTTGGCCTTGCCAATATTAAAAGTACTAATTAACCATCCCTTTCCATATAGCACTTTTACTAAAAATCAATGATCTTCTCTTTCTTCATTTCCAAACTTAATTGCGCCTTTCAGTGCCATGCAAAAGCCACCTGCTATCCCTGGTATTCCTTTTTGAAATTCAGTCTTCATTTCTCTCCATGGACAACACATCTTTTGGCTTTCAGTGACTCTAGCCACTGTTGACAAATCTCCTTTATTGGATCCTCCTTATTAAGTCGGTATCTAAATGCGAGAACATAAAAGGCACAGTCTTCAGGCGAATATATTCCTATTCCTACATATATTCCATGCCTACATCTCATCCTTCCCCATGGCCATAAGTCTGCTATTGATTACTCCAAATTAATACCTCAATCCCCAATTTCCCCTCTAATCCCCAGAGTCCTACTTAATTAGGCATTATGGGAAGGCAGAAATTTTTAGGGTCTATAATCCTTGAAAATAAACATCAATTTTAGAATTTTTTATGGAAAAATTAAAGATAACAGGATTTGTTTTATAATCCCATATGATAAACTAGGTAGAATATAGCAGAGAATATTTAAATTGGTCAAATAAATGTGGAGACAGTATTTTTAACCAACTGCATAGTTTTGCCTTGGAATTAACTTAGTGTCCTGTCTTAGTTAAACCAAATACCAGAAAAGTCACAGTCCTGGATTTTTGTACAAACGATTTATCAGAGAGTAGTAAAACTCAAGAGATATGGGGAGAAATAAGGGCTACAGTCTTCTCCTTAAACTTTTCATTGGTCTAACTCATTCTGCTCCATATGGGAGGAAGAGGCTCCATCCTGATTGGAGACATTCCAAGTAAATGCTGGGCCTCTTTTTTAATGAGGAGTCCCTGTGTTCTGTGGTCATCCATGTGTTTACTCTCCTTTGTGTCTTCATTTCATGTTCATGGATGCTGCCTTGAAAGTACCTTTCTTCGTGAAAAAGACCCAGCCATGCTGCCCCCTTCTCCTCTTCTCCAAGGTAAGAGCATTCCATTTATTTTTAAATTAGAGACACTGAATTCTCTTTGGGACTACTCTACCTTTCCTCCTGTATTAAAAAGCGTTTGGCAGCACAGTTTTATTATCATTCCAGAGAATAATTAAACAGTAACATGCTTTTCTGTTGTGATTCCCTATTTATTTTTTGAAGGTTTCATGCCATGGAAATTTTAAGGGTTTGCTAGATTGAGGCCGAATCTACGAATATGGTTAAAAAAAAAAAGCCTTAACAACACCAAAACAATCATCTATATATATACATGGAAGAGAGGAGAATGTGTTTTAGCCAGGCTGGTTCAAATTTTCCAAGATACCCTTATTATATGTAAAAGCACCATATTTATATTAAAATGATTAAAAACTTCCTTTTGTCCCTGTCTTCAATTGTTTCACCTTCTTTAGATGACAAGTTTCTTTAATGGAAATTCGTTTGCCTGTTTATTTGCACGTTCATTTAGTTCATACTTCATTTGTTTATAAAAAGTAATTCTGGTTTCACTTCCATTTTCCTCTTCAAGCACGTAAGGTCAATATTTACTGAGCCTCCACTACAAGCCTATCATCAGAGACTAAGTACAAAGTTAGAAACAGGGAGCACTGTTTTGACCCAAAGCCTGAGGTCATCCTCATGCCTCTGTAAATATACTGCATTGGTTTATAATTTATACTCTCATATGACATTTCCATTCCTGGACTGCACCTCAGCAACAATGAGCCAGATTTTGAAACTCATCATATTCAGGATGATTAAGAACATTTCATCAATTCAACGAAGTCACTTTTTCAAAACTCAGCATATCTTTATTCTGGAAATCTTATTTAACTAGAATAAAATTTGGGATTATGATTATAGATTGCTTAAGTTTCCCTGGTTACAGAGAACATAGAACAAAATTTAGGGACATACAGATTTTAGGCAACATAACCACTGTATCAGTCTGTATCATCTATACGCAGCACCACAGAGGGCTGGAGTTCATTCACCATCAATCTCAGACACTATAAAGGATTATGAAAACCTAATAAAGCAATAACAAAATAATAACAGTCCAAGAAAACTGTTGAACATCTTGCCAATAATGATGGTATTGTTGCATTCCCTAGTTGGGACTTACTACTAAAAACACACCCTTCTCCCTCTACCAACTACCTCTTAAAGAGTTCTACGTGCCCCTCACATTCCACTCCCTAGTTTAGGCATAAACTTCATTAAACCTTTTAGGTAACCCTTTCCCTTTTTTGTACTGTGGGTCACCATCTCATTCTTTCACACAGTATTTTCAGTTAGAAAATATTTTGTTGACCATTTCTCACAAGCCATGATATACAAACTTCTCCTTAAAGCAGAACAGCAGCTAATATACATTACATAAACCAGTAACAGAGAGTTTGAAAAATCACCATTGATTCTGCTAAAAATCACCTGTGACTGCTAAAACTATGGTGTAAAAGTCTGTTGACAAATAGGGTATTTACATACTTTCAAATGATTTCCCTACAGAATATTTATTAATTACAAAGGAATGTTAACTTTATACCAATTGAACCAAACAATCACAGTTATGTCACCAATAATAGGACAAAGTGATATCACTTGCCATATGATGTGAATCACTGAGGTAGAGACATATCAATTTGAAGTATTCTTGCCAATACATTAACTTAAACCTATTCATGAGGAAATATGAGAAAATTAATAATTTGAGGAATCTTTTAAACTATGAGCTATTATTTTTCAAGAATACCAACATCATCAAAGACAAAGGATGAATGAGAAAGTGTTCCACATTAAATGGGACTAAAGAATTGTAACACTTGAATGCAAAACAGGATCCTCTTCTGGGTCCGAAAGGGGGAAAAATTACAGAAAGAACATTACTAGAACTGGTGACATCTATGTACTGTATATCAGTGTAATATATTTGTACTATTGATAAATTTCATAGTTTTGAAAACTGTAACAAGTTAATTTAAAAGGATGCTCAGGCTCTTAGAAAGTGAATGCTGAAGTATTTTGGTTTAGACACGTATCTGGAAGTTACAATTAATTCTTAAAATAAGAACAATAATTGGGCAGGGAGAGAATGAAAGAAAGAGGGAGGGAGAGACGAGGGAGGAAGGGAGGAAAAGAGAAAGAACACAGGAATGCAGAAAAATCTGGGTGACGAGTATACGGGGGTTCTCTATATAATCCTTGCAACCCTAAATCTAAAATAATTTCAAAAATAAACAGTCAAAAATAATAAACACTGGTATAAGATATGCTGAGGAAGTTTGTGAACCCCCAAGAAGCACTGCATTTAGAAGAGGTCTATGGTTTCTACCTCTGACAATTCTTGTGATTATAGGAAACGCGGACTACTGCTTTTTTAAAAAATAAATAATCCATCACTATTTGGCCTTTTTATCCATGGCCACTGACTGTTTATACTTAAGTTAAAAATACCATTTTCACCTATTAGATTGGCTAAAATCTTAAAGGATTGATAACATCCATCATGTACAAGTTTTTATGAAAATTAGCACTGCCATTACTCCATATATATGCCATTACTATTTTCACCTATTAGATTGGCTAAAATCTTAAAGGACTGATAACATCCATCATGTACAAGTTTTTATGAAAATTAGCACTGCCATTACTCCATATAAGTGTGCTGGCCTAGAAAACATTTCAGGAGCAATTTCACAATATCTACTAAAATTAAAGTATGCAGAATTGATGATCCAACAATGCCACATCTAAAAATCTATCATAGAATTAGGAGACCAATTTTATATACATAAAATTACATACATTATAGTATTATATGCAGCAACATAAACAAATAGTTAACCTGCATTTCCAAACAGAGAAATAGATAAACCAGCCAATGGAAAGTCTGCAGATAAGCTATATTTATTGGTTTGGAAAATGTCTGCAAAATATTAAAGAAAAAAATAAAGTTGCTAAACAACAAATACCATAATGATGGCATATTTATAAAATAAATTCAACTTATATAAGCTTAGACAAATTATTGACCACTATATCACAAATAGTTAACTCTTCTCACCCCTGGAAAGTAGGAATGGAAGATGAAGGATGAATGACTACAATTTGCTTTAGGTTGTTTAATAACCCTTCATTCTTGGTGGCCCCATTTCAATGCACTAGGTATCAGGCTTGTCTAGTGAGACAGGTTAGGCAATGCAGTTAGTAGTTCCCTGATGACAGTGCATCTGACATTCCAGAAGTAGACAAAACTTCCAGTAAACACAGCCATCTATATTAAGCCCACTTAGGTTAAACAGAAAACAAGTGAAAATCAAGAGTAATGTGGATTAAAGGAAAACCTCATGAGTTTTTTACTCCAATCCCAAAGAAGAAAATGCCAGTGTAGCCAAGAAAATTATGGCAACATTTTTCTACAAGATTGTATCATCATGACTCAAAATGTCAAGGCAAGGGTCTGGCTCTCCTTTACACAAACAGAGTTCTGATGGCATCCAGATCTTAAATTCGTGTATGGGGAAGATGACAACTACAGTCAGACTCAGATCCTGTTCTAGAATGAGAACTAGTAGGTTCAATAAAAAGGAAAACTGAAGATGACCTGTTGCAGGTATTGCAAATGTTTTAAGAGGTTCTTGTTTGGAACCACTCTAAAAACTGTGGGCTCATGATTCAAATGAGGAACAAAGTATCTTACAAATGATACAAGAACTGGCACATGGGAGGCACTGGGCTCGTGAGAAAGCCTGATTATTATCTGGGGCACGACCAAGGTGTCCATGGAGTTGCATTAATTACATTTATCAGACACAAATCTCACATTTGTAAAGTAAAACATGGATAAAAAAATGTAATGCGGTAAATACAACAATAAAGAAAAACACAAGATATACTCAGAGCACAGAGAAATACTAACAACATTCCAGGCAATTACTTTTCAAAAGCATGTCACTTCTATTCCTGAGGACACATATGAAAGTTGTGCCCTTTGGGATACAAAGATGCAATAAGCTTCCGAAAGGGGGAAATAATGACAGCATTTGGGTGATGCTGTGGATGGAACCACTGCAGAAGATATCTATGATCCTCTTGTCCACATGTTCACCACCTGGAAGAGTACAGAGGGAGAGACTGCAAATGAAAATAAACAACAGGTTATCACATAGCTATGCCTCGTGACAGGTGGATATCACCTTTGAGTCAAGATATTACTGGTACTCGATAGAAAACAACTCCCATGATCCTGACGCTAAATATCTCCAGGCTACAAAAACCAGGTTTATGTACAAAAATGATGAAACCATAATTTTCCTTCCTCAGCCCATTTACTGTGATCTCAGTACCCATCTTCTATTCAAAATTATTTCCATGCCATTCAATCACACATACATTCTTTGAAACACCATTTCCTAAGTAACTTCTTAGTGCTAATTTATAGACCAGTTCAGGGTTAAAAATAAAATAAAAAGACAATGGCACAAGCAGAAGGTAATAACGTGGTCTGTAAATTCCATAGTATTTCATAGAAATCTTTCCAATATCAAAACCCATTATCACAATATCCGCATTCTTCGTGCTAGTGCAACTTCTGATGGTCATAACTGGACGAAAACTCTTTGTATTTCAACTCGTGACTTGAGTGTCTTTCACTAACAAGAGACCACTCAAAAATCTGGGGTTAAACTCAAAGGATCACATAGGCCACATAACAGGTTTGATGAAAAAGAAATATAGTGTCAAGTAACTCAAACAAGAATCAATTCATCATCAATATAACTAAAAGGCTATCTTAAAAATAAGAATATAGGCCTTAATGCTCTTACCTACAGCCCAAATCTCTTTGGTCCCTTGCGTATGAAAGATGCTTATGAAAGAAAGAAAAAAAGGGAAGGAAGAAAGAAAGAAAAAAAGGATGGAAGGGAAGGAGGGAGAAAAGGAGAGAGAGGAAAAAGAAAAGCTTAAAAATATTTGAAGAATCTTCATTCACTCATCAAGTGAAAGGGTGTTAAGAACCTCCTTCCATCACACTAATATTGGAATATTCCTTAACTCCTCCTGTCCACCCACCTTACCTACCCATTGACAATGTTAGTAATACCACAATTCATACATCTGGGAATAAAACTCAACCTCTATCATTAAGACCCACATTATCTGCAGCAAATTCTACTTTCTAATTGTTTTGCTTTCTGATGTCTTTTTATACCCCTTTCACATTTTCCTACCTGCCTGATGTCCTTCCTTGTCTCCCTCTATCCAGCTACCATTAATGCATTTATTCCAAAACATTTAATACTTAAATAAAAGTAAAACTTACTGAATGTACAGAGATTATAGCCTCTGTCTAGATAATATCAAATTCTCTGGTGAGAGGAGATAAGAGTAGTAAATCAAAATCTATATGATCTATGTACCAATACTACATCAAAATGTAAGAGCCGGGCTTCCCTGGTGGCGCAGTGGTTGAGTGTCCGCCTGCCGATGCAGGGGACACGGGTTCGTGCCCCGGTCCGGGAAGATCCCACATGCCGCGGAGCAGCTGGCCCCGTGAACCATGGCCTCTGGGCCTGCGCGTCCGGAGCCTGTGCTCCGCAACGGGAGAGGCCACAACAGTGAGAGGCCCGCGTACAGCAAAAAAAAAAAAAAAAAAAAAAAAAAAAGAAAAAAAAAAAAATGTAAGAGCCTTTTTATCTCTTCTATAGCATCCAATTGGCATCACAATTTGACAATCTTATATGTTTTATGGAATTCATGTTTTTAGAGTTTAAAATACTATAAATGGGATTTCACGTTAAACTGATCAAAAAAGGAACAAAGAATACACTGGCATTACCAACCCTTACCAGCACTTTTGAAGAATAAAATCCATAGAAATGATAAACAAGTACAAATATTTGGATCGATTACAGAAATGTCAGGCAGTGACCCATGAAAAGGTCTCACTTCTTAAGTTGATAACACCTCAGTTAAAACGGTGGGAAATATGGGAAAATTGTGACACATATCATGACCAACATAATATACAGAAGGTAAAGTTGGCTCTTTGATCAATTACCTAAAAGTATCCAACTTACTAAAATATAAAAAATCATCATTAGATAAAATACTCTTGTGAACTCACTACAGTTGGATTTTGGTTTCTTTTTTTTTTCTTATTTACTATCACAACTGTTTGAATACAATCACTAAACTTCTCTAATTCTAAAAATAACAGGGCTTCCCTGGTAGCGCAGTGGTTAAGCAGGGGACACGGGTTCGAGCCCTGGTCCAGGAAGATCCCACATGCCATGGAGCTAAGCCTGTGTGCCACAACTAATGAAGCCTGTGCCTAGAGCCCATGCTCCGCAACAAGAGAAGCCACCACAATGAGAAGCCCGTGCACCACAATGAAAAGTAGCCCCCACTCACTGCCTCACTGCAACCAAAGAAAAGCCTGCGTGCAGCAACAAAGACCCAACGCAGCCAAAAATATATTAAATTAAATTAAAAATAACAATAAATTAGCCTATATTCCTCAACAGTACATCCATCAATTCATTCAACGTTAAATATGTGATTTTATTATTGTATGTCTGTTTTCCCAATGATGAAATTATTGTACCATCCCTACTTGAATCAATCCATCCATGCATCAATACACTTAGCAGGCCACCCTGAAACCATCAATGATACCTCTATCCACTCATGCAATCAATCTATCTATATGCATTGATCCCTACATTCATCCATTATTCTAGCCAGACATTCTTGCATCTGACAATCTAAACACGCATATGATCCATGCATCTAACATTCCATTCTGGAATCCACTCAAATTCTGATGTCTAGGTATCTATCTACAGCTTCACTGAATATTGAGTCCGTCAATCCATATACACAACTGTTTGTTTCCAAAATATTAACTGATTCTTGCATCCAGCCATCCACTCATATATATTCTAGTTTCCATTTGGTCTTACATTCAGGCAATTTTGCATTCATTCATGCATTACTGTACCCCAAATTCCGTAAAGCATCCATCTCTCCCAGCCTTCTTTCTTTCCAAATATCCAACCTTGCATTATTTCACCCACTAATTCTTAAATCCACATAAGCTTGATTATGTAGAAAATCTTATTTACATCCTTCCTTCAATCTATCCACTCCTACAACCAAGTTTTAAACCATCAATCCAACTCTCCATTCTATGCATTCATCCATCAATCCTTGAATTCTTGTCTGCATTTTATCCATCTATATTAGTCAAAGTCAAAGCAACTTCAAAGTCTCACTGGATTAACAAAACAATTACTTTTCATGCATGAAAAGACCTCTACTCCATGTTACTGCTTATTGTTCCAGGATATTCTCCTTTTGTGGCATATTCTCCTCTGCTTCAACACTTGATTCTATGATCAACACAGGTTAAGAGATGAAGCAGAATCATATGCAACCTATTAAAGTCTTCTGCCCATGACACATTTCAGGCATGCTACATTTCTTTAAACAGTGAATTAGTTTTATTATGGTTGACTGGAAGAGATTCACAAGGCATTGTTGGGTGAGAAGAGCATGATGTAGCATGTGTGCAATATGAACTGATTCTTGTAACAAACAAGTATAGAAATGCTAGTACATATCCACAATTATAGTTGGAGACTTCCACAGCCCACTCTGAGCAATTGATAGGCTACTATCCTGAAAATCAGCAAGGATATACAAAGCTGAACAACATAATCAACCAACAAGATCTAGTAGACATCCATCCATAGTGTGCTCCATGAAACCGTGGCAGATGTTCCCAAGGAACATCTACCAAGACAGACCACAGCTCAAGCCACAAAACAAGCAAATCTAACCAAATCTAAAGTAATTGAAATCAGAGTGTGTTCTCTGACAATGGATTCAAATGAGAAATCAAGGAAGACACAAGGAAAGTATCTAAACACTTGCAAAATAAACAACACTGGCATGTTACATTTTATTTATTTTTTTATGCTACATTTTAGAGTGAGTTATACTTTCTCTCTCGGAGTAGAGAAAGCTGTGCAGCAACCCTGGAGGGTATTTCTCACATTGCCTATCTTAGAAATAATTAAGCAGGATAACAGGAGTGGAACAATGTGTCAGAGGCCTAGATAGGGCCAGGAAGAACAAAGGACAAGTGAGTATCTCTCAAGACTTACTTAAATATTCTCCAACCCCAAGACCAAGGGTGCTCACAGTATCTTCCAAGTGCAATTTTTAAATTTCTAAGGAACAGTGATTACTATGTCTTACATTCAACACCTTACATTACGCAGTTTTTATTGCAGTTGCATTGTCCTTGCTCTGTAACTATACACTTGGAAGTGAGTTACTGATAACTTTTTTAAGTTCATGTATCTCTGGCACACATGGAGACCTCACATATCTGTCTATATACAGGATCAGTGCAAATCATCTCCTTATTCCCATGAACAGTAAGACAGAACATGTTACTGTCTTCAACCTTCAAGCGAAAAAATGTCAAAAATAACACATTCACAAATTCTTTGAAAGTTAAATATATATTTAAGACTATTTTAAAGTATATGAGCTAAATGAAGAAAAAACATTGTGCATCTTTCCAAAATGAGATAGTGAAAGTAAGTAAAGGTAACCAAATGGAAACATAACAAAACATTTTGTAGAGAAAGGAACACAAAAAGGTAAATAAAAAGCATTTAAAAGGTAAATAAAAACCAAGCATTATTTGCTATACATATATGAATAGAATAAAAATAAGTTTTATAAAGGCTGAGAAAAAAATATCCTAACTACAAGCTGTACAAGTGAATTCCATAAATTGAATACGAATTTGAATAGTTAGAATTATCCTTTGTCTATATGTACACATGGGTTTCCTAACTGCCATACTAACATTATTATATTAGCAATACAACTGTTAAATACTCAAGTTTATGCAGTTCTGTCTTTAGACTATAGTACATGAATTTATATTAATCATCTTTGGAGACTGATAGGACATCAAATTCATTATCCTATAACTGATAATTAAATGGAAAGAATCAAGGATTCATCCTGTGTTTCCATTTGAATTAAGAATTTTAACAGTTGTAGAAAGTTCCTATTTAAATTAAGAAATTTCTTATCACTTATTTAGAGCAAATGTGTAACTATTAATGAAATAATGAATAAAGGCCATGATTTTTTAAGTGAAAAGCTGATGCCAAAATTAAATACTGAGTGATTCTTGACATCGTAGAAAGATATACAAACATTATGATGTGATAATGTCCTTATAATGAATTATGATGTGATGCATTTGGAAACAGTCCTAAAATAAATGATTAAAGAATGAATAAAACCAGTCTGATAAGGCATTTAAAATCTAAATACCATATAAAATTGAGGAAAATATCAAATACCATCATAGGTAGCATGCCATCTACCATGTCCAGAATATAGAAATGCAAGTTTTAAAAGGAAAATAGCCTGATTTCCTCCAAAGGGAAATGACATGAAAAAAATTAAAAACCAAGGGATGCTGCAGAACCATAGATTAACACAGCAAAGGAGACGGAATGTGTAATTCTTCAACTGCTAAGTTGAACACTACAACTATTTTAAAAACACATACAGAAGTTTAAATGAGAATTTTTTTTTTTTTTTTAAATGAGAATTTTTATCAAGAAATATTTCATAGGTGGGACTAGGTATCCTGCTGTGATATACTATATGGAATGATTACATTTTATATTTTTCAAGAGGCAGCATGATGGTATGTCTTAAAAGGACTGGTGTCCCCAAATCTTGAGGTAACAAAATACATTCAGAAGAAATAAAAGAAAACTAGATCTCAGTTGTTATTTCTTGAATGAGAAGATGGGAAAATGGAAGATGCATTATCAGATTCTATTTGGGACGTATTTTAAGACATTCCATGAGCTAAGAGCTCATGGAAGATTGAAAGCATGATCAAATATTCTACACGAAATGAAACAAAAAGAAAATTAAGGTCAGGAAATCAATAGCAAGTCAATTTAGTAAGACTAAAATGATCTCTAATAGAATGATAGAGATATAGAATAGAATGATAGAGACACAGATCTCTATCAAGTTTACAGTGAACCATGGTAACAATCACTTATAGAACTCTACACTGGAGAATATGCATCTTTCCTAGCACCCCTAACACAGCTACAAATATGGGCTGTACTTCTGTTATGATCTATATGTGTGTATATATATAATTTATAAAGGTATTTACATAGTCTATAAATATATACAAGTATATGTATGTGGGAAAGAGAATATATGAGATAGAGACAGAGAAAATCTCAAGGTAGAAATAACCTAAACCAATTAGCTCACCAAAATGCATTCAATACACTAAAATATAGTGTATATAAGAATATAACAAACATGAATATTAAATTCCTCCCAAATGAAATAAATTACAAAAGACCAAATCTTAAATGTTTTTAACACACACATAAAAAAGCAAGGGTAATGTCATATCAAAATAACGAGGTTGAATATTGATAATTAAGTAATTTGACAAAACTAAGATAAAAATGGCCTAGATAAAAATGTATGGTCCCAGCTTGGATTCAGATTTCTTTCAACTATCATAGATATCTTTGGAACAACTAACAAATTTACATAAGGATTTATTTTAAAATATATTAAGGGGTTCTAGTTAATAAAACTAGGGATATAACATTGTAGTTATTTAAAAATGTGATCTGTACATATACAAATTCAGGACTGAAATATTACTGTATTTCTTAATTTTCAAAATATGGCAAAATATCTAGTTCCTACATACATGAAAGTTTACTATGCTCTCATTTGTCTTTGAAACTTTTCATAACAAAAACTAAGATAGTTCCTCAAAACACTAAACATGGAATTACCATCACTCCTAGCAATTTTACTCCTAAGTATATACCCAAAGGATATGAAAATAGAGACTCAGACATTTGTACACCAATGTTCATAGTGTCCCTCTTCAATGTGGATAGCCACTAGCCATATTATTCAAAGTCAAAAACTGGAAACACCCAAGTGTTCATCAACATATAAAATGTGGTATATACATAGAATAGAATATTATTCAGCCATAAAACTGAACTTTTGATACATATCTTGCTTCCCAAATACTATTTCCCATAAGGAACCAGGGATCCTAGGAGAAATAGCTAGAGCAAGATAAGAACAAAATGAACCTGGACACTGTTACATGGCCAGAAAGTAAGTGCTCGAGAAAAGATAGGGACATGTTAAAAAGACACAGAGGCCAAATGTGGGATAACTTAAAATTTTTTTTAAAAAACTGAGTAATGTAGTGGATATCCATCTTTATCCATAGGATAAAGAAAATATCCATGAGTCTACATTGAAATGAATAACTGAAAAACTGAATGGAGAAGAATGGACAGTTCCAAATAATTGGACCACTCCAATTAATAAAATGTAGGATTGACAGAATTTTTTTAAAATCATGATTTGACAGGAAACCTCAATAAATGCTAAAATTTAGCATATGCAAGTATGATAAGAAACAGTACTTGCAGTATCTTTCCCAAAAGATACTTATTAATTACAACACTAAGTAAGCAAAGTAACATTGCTAGTCATAAGGCACTATCAACATTATGTGATCCCTAGTGATGAACTGAGAACTACAACATTTCTGTAGTGTTCTTGCCAAAAGTATATAACCTCAAACTCAAAGAAAAAAATCAAACAAACCTATACTGAGAGACATTCATGGTTAAAATATTTGTAGATTCTTCAAGTGTCAAAATCATGAAAAGGAGACTTTGACAACTATATGTAATGTTGGATCTCACTTTGGATGTATAAAACAATCAGTTAATAGTAGTACATCAATAGAAGTCTCCTGTTTTAGATAATTGTATCCTGCACAGGTAATGTTAATATAAGAAGCTGGGAAATATTAAAAACCCAAATGAACAACAACAAAAGAAACCTATGTACTACTTTTGCTACATTTTTGTAGGTATAAGGTTATATCAAAATAGAATTAAAAATGAAATAATACTAGTATTTAATTGTTTTCAGTCTACTTCATGAATAAAATAGTCAAAACAGTTTTGATATAGCCAATAAACCAAATATAAAATTCCAACAAAAACAGAACAAAATAAAGCTCTTTTTTTAGGATTATCTTTTCAGAAAGTGCAATTAAAATTATAATGACTATAACAGGGGAGAATGTAACAGAAAAACAAAATTTAGTTCACATATTCACTTGATGAAAAATGTTCATTTTTAGAAAAATTCAATTTTTAGCCTAATCAATAATTATAATGGCAAATATATCAACTGTAAAACACGAGACATTTTATTAAACCTGTTACCAAATCTGGTGAAAAATCCTTAATTAAAGAGAGGAAAATTCCTGAAATGACCCATAAGTCCTTACAAATTGTGAAAAAAGAACATAATTTTGGAATTTCGATGAAACTGCATTTAAAAAGTATACAAATGGCTTTCCTATATCAATATGAAAATAAGCTAGGTGTACAACCCCCATCATTACATTAAGAAAACTATGAAATGTTTGGGAATGAACTTAAAAAAACTAAACTAGCAGTATCCCAACATAACAATTTGATAAAAAAATAGAAAGACATACCTTGCTGTTTGATAGGAAGACTCAATTTTAAAGAGATCTATTCTCTCCTAATTAATCTATTAAATTTGTTGCAAATGAAATAAAAACTGCATTATTTTTTCCAACTTGCAAAGTAATTTTAAGCGTCAATTGAGAGAAAAAAATGCAAGTACAGACAGGGAATATTCTGAAAGAGAAGAGAAATGAGATAGAACTCAATGGAATAGATAAGACTCAACAGTAATTTTCAAGTATCAATAGAAGGTAAGGCAAACCAATAAATAGAAATGCAGTCAATTACATGTCGGAATTTCTATATGATTATGGTAGAATTAAAAATAAGTGGTAACTACTTAGGTTAAGGTGAGTAATTTGAATATGTAATGCTTTAAAACTACAGTAATGATTAATGGAAAGAGAAATAACATGACAAAATATTTGATGCAAAAAAGAAAATACAGACCAAGAAATGATACTAATACAAACGTGTTTTTTTAAGAAAAACACAAAACTCAAAAGGCATAAAGTACATGATTATATTTTAATACACAACCAAAATACAAAACACCATAGTAAATTGATAGCAATAAAATATGGTACTTCATTTGCACTGCATGACAAATGGTTAACATCCTTAATAAAAAATGAGTTCTTAGAAACCAGTAACAAAGACATTGATATATCAATGGAATGGAAAAAAAAAACAGAAGAAAATAACACAAATGACTAGTAAGGATTAAGCATATATGAAGATGACAGAGCTGAACAGTAACAGAAGAAAAGCAATTTCTTTGTAATACCATATTACCAAAGATTAAAAATGTAACATTTGTACAGTTTTAGGAAATATACCCACATAAACACTGGGGAACAAGATTGATGAGGTCCTGTCTGTATAGTAGGGAAAACTAGTTTGGACTCAAAACTATAAATTTTGGATACCCTTAGTCCTAGCAGTTCCAATTCACTGGAATTATTTCAACAAATTAGTTGGATAAATTTACAATTATATATAAATCATGTTTACTGTGTAGAAAATCTGTAGCTAGTATATAGATCACCCAAAAAATAACTTGCATATTAATTTATCAATACACCCAAAAGGATGTGCACAAAATTTCATTAATAGTAGATAACACAGACAGAGGTGGCAGAATTAGAAGAGGAAAAAAGGCATTTAAGAAGTAAAATATTATACTTCACAAATTTCCATGTCCTTTGAAATCTTGAAAAAGATGATTTTTTATGAGTCAATTTTCAATTTCCCTGTGATAAATGAAAATTTTAAAAATGTGCACCTAATACTTATGGGAGCACTGTAATGAAGCCTTGAAATTATACCATTCTGAGCTTCTCTGTGTAATAATGCCTCCATCATTCAAGCTCCTGAGATTTAGTCCAATGGCAACAATGAAAACAGTCAACATGCCTGGTTACAGTTCTCTCCAATATCACCCTTTAGGTCACTTTGAAACTTCAGCCTTCTCAGCCTGTTTTTGTGATCTACAGGGAGTGTCCATTGCAACGCATCAATGAGGAATCTCTATACATTATGAAGACTGTCTTTGGTTTTACTGAAGATGGTGGCAGAAGCAATGGCATCAGTTTTTCCTATTCAGTCATCACCTGAGAGGACACATTGGGGAAAAAAATGGGAACAGTTTAGTAGCATACTTCATGATGCAACAGCTATTCTATTATGAATAACAGGTGGATCAAAATTCATTTTGGAATTTTCTAACAATGAGAAAGCCGGATATTGGGAGTTCTTCTTACATCTTGCTAAATGGACTGATCCTTCAAACTTTCTCTTCATGTTGTCTGTATTTCTTTTTTACTATGTATGGTTTCTTCTATCTCCAGATCACTCATTCATGATATCATGCAATCTACATACATTTCTGTACAAGAAATATAACAATGCTTAAATACTGCAATGAAAATAACCAAGGAGCTTAGTCCATTTGACAAGAAAAACAGTAACTATATTAAAGATATAGAGACTAAAACGGAACTTAGGAAAAGATTTGGCTCCTGACCCATTCATTATTCCAGGGTCCATCAAAATTCCTGAGTAGGTACCTCCCAAAAAACCATTAATCTTCTATTTAGCTATGATTTATCCTGAGAAAAAAATAAACATTTTCTGATTAAAACTTCCACTTTCAAGGTTATCCCATGGACAGGAAGTAGGCAATGAGGGTCTCTGAGAAAGAATGTCTAAGGAATTTGTCAGCATTCACTCTTCACAGCACATCCCATGAATTATTAACCTTCCTGTGGGGTATAGTAAAAAATGAAGGGAAAAACTCCTGGTGTGTTAAGAGCACAGATTCAGTATGTGTTATAACGTTATTGATTTCATCAACAATTGTCCCCACTCATTCTTTTTTAACAGTTCCATAGCTTTTGTAGTTCTAAGATTGTACCTTTCGGTATCAACATATTGCACCTGGGCCTTTTCCCTTTTGCATTCCCCAAACTGACTTAATCCAAAAACCATGCACTTTTAACTTCTTATCTTTTGCCTAATTTACTCCCCAAATCACAAAACAATTCAGTAAGACTTTATTTTATGCCAGGCAATGAATAAGACGTTTGTTGCAAATTATCTGCAAGGGATTCTGAGTGTGAGAGAAGTGAAATTCTGAAAATCAAGGACCACCCCCCAAAAAGAAAACAAAACAAAAACTACTGAAGCACCACATTTGTAGCTCTTACCTACTGTGCCTTCTTTCATCTGGTTTTACAAGCTGTCTTGGTCTGCAGTCACCTTGGCACTATCCCACCATGCTATGGAACTTTGGTTGGCCATATGGCACCATTAGCCAACAGAATATGGCATAAAAGATGCTACATGACTTCTGAAACTAGTTCAGAAAGGCCACGCCACTTTCACAAGGCTCTCTTCTTACATTTATTTTTATGATTCATATGGGAACCTGGCTGTGCGAAGGTACTCTAGTTTAAAGCCTCAGCTAAGCCCAACCTTCCAAGTCATCTAAAACCAGTGCCAGACGTGAGTGAAAAAGTATCCAAAGACTCCAGTGGTCTGAATCACTCTCAATTATTCGATTGGGCCTTCCCAATTGATCCCACAGACATTCTAGCACTGTCAGAAATTTTCACTCACAGTATCCATGGAAATAACACAATAATGTATTATCCATAACTAAGTTTTAGGATAATTTGTTACTCATACGTTACCCTGAACAATATCCACTAGCTGCCACCAAAAATCCCATCAAGCTTAAGAAAAGCAGAATAATCAATTCCTGTCTAACCAAAGTGCCCCTCCGTGAATCAAATGAGCACTCAAAGTGTCCTTACACAATCATTATCGCCAAGGGGTTCTCCTAGGCCCAGGGATGGATGGGAGTGATGAACACTTGAAAAGAGGAATACTGCAACAGGTCTCATGGTACCAATTATTGAGATTAAAAACAAAGATGGCAAAAGTGTCTTTTCTTGGAACTATCATCTCCCTATAGGGAAAAACAAGAAACATTATAAGGTAAAATACATAGCATTCTGACCAAACACTGAAGTAGCAGGTAAATGGAGGCTCATGTTGAACTTTGTTACAATTTCAGTTAAGGCTTAGTAACAGTTCCTCATTAATCAATCCTATAGCTGATTCAACTCTCCAACTTCAACATGACTTTATTACTACTACTCTTCTATATTAGTATCTTTTTTAGGTTGCCATGAACTTCTCTTTTTCATACCACAAAACTACACATGCAAAAATAGTTGGTCTATTCTCTAATTTATAATTATTAAAATATTGATCATTTCCTTTATAATATTAGTTGCCATCTTTCGTCATAAGTAAATTAATTGAAGGAAGGCATAAGTACCTACATTATTCATGGATTCCATCTTTATAAAACTGTATTTTAAAATAACTGGTTTATTTATTCTCAGGAATGTTTGTAACTCAAAGGTACTCAAGAACAAAGTCTGCCCCCAGTGTTATTTTCTTGAACCTAGCCAAAATCTCATCCTAATACAGCATTTCTTGATCCAGAACCTTCTTACCTGTGGTTTACAGTTCAGATTTATAAATTAAGGAACTTCACAGGAATAATGTTCCTGATGATGTCAGACATCCTCAGGTTATCTGCATGTTATGTCTTTCTTTCATCATGTTCACCTGAGAAGCAAGTATACAATATTTGACTTTAGAACTGACAGGAATAGTGAATGGAAATAATTAAACTAGCAAATATGACTGCCCAAAGAGACTTTGTTTTTACTTTTTCACCTTTTCAGAGTACCTTTAGCACAAACATTGAGACTACTGAAACATTTTTCATGCCAATTCTGAATAATCTAAAAAGCCATAAAGACCTATTTGAAATCCTTCTGAGACTTAACTACCGTAAAAGAAAACAATCCGTTCTCCAATTATGCCCATTACTAAGAGTTATTCGAGTTTATCCCAAGAGATTCCTCCCCCTTACAATATGCCACAAATATGGCACTGCCTTATAAAATTACCCTTTGTGTTTGTCAACCCAAATATAATTGTTTTTGTTTTTTGCTGTACGCGGGCCTCTCACTGTTGTGGCCTCTCCCGTTGTGGAGCACAGGCTCCGGACGCACAGGCTCAGCGGCCATGGCTCACGGGCCTAGCCACTCCGCGGCATGTCGGATCTTCCCGGACCGGGGCATGAACCCGTGTCCCCTGCATCGGCAGGCAGACTCTCAACCACTGCGCCACCAGGGAAGCCCCCAAATATAATTGTTTAGCACCTACCTCAAATGCCATCTTCTCCCTTCTTTCCGTGGATAGTCCAATACTCTGTTTCACTGTGTAAAACTCTTTGCCGCACTAGCACAAGTATCTAAGTCACACGCTCTTCACGATCACTCAAAAACTATTCATAACAGTCACTGGGAATACAAAGTTGGACACAACAGCCCAACACTCCCAAGATGTCAATAGGTAACGATGAAGACAGGCACAAATTGGTTGTATCTTTAAAATTTCCTCTGCTGTTTAAATGTTGCTTCTGAAATACCTTTAAAATTTTAAAGGCAGAAAGTGGCAGCAGTCCCTTCTTTTCTGATCTTTTTACACAGTAATGTTAAAATTTTGCCATGTTTTTCCAAACAATTTTCTATTCAATAATTCACATTTGCATTTTAGATTTTCAAGTAGCAATACACAAATATATAAACAATGTTTTAGTATTTAACTTACACATGTATAAAAATTTCAAAAAGAATGCTAAAATAATCACTATTGTAGTAACACTAATGAGTAAGCATTACTTAACTCCATTATCATGTCTGAATAATCCCATTCCCAAGGAACAGTAACCATTAATATTTCAAATAGAAAAACCGGAGGCATATGGACACACCTCAGCACACACACTTAGTTGATATTTGTACAAAAATGACAATTTAAAAAATCAACTTAAAACACCCTTCAATATCAGAATACTTTTTCAGTGTTTGAATAATATCCATATGAATTAGCTATCATTAAAATCGTTATTTTAATGATGTGTATTTCATACATTCAAATTATTTGTTATACTTGATCTATAACATACTTTCTTCTTTATGGATTTGAGTAGGAATATATAAAATTCCGTCAACAGATTATATCATTTCAACAATTTTACACACTCAAATTTCGATTGTCATTGCCAAACTGTTGTTCAAAAAGGTGTACCGATTACACTTTGATAATAATGGATAGGATTCTAAGAAATTTCCATTATTTACATTATAGGCAACTGAGAATACTTTTGACATTGGTTACTGATTATAACATACAAATTAACTGCTCTCCAGAAAATTTTCAAAAGCTCAGAAAAATATTCATAATCATGGAAATTCTGTTCTCATACAGATGTATATATGTAAACATTAAAAAAAATATCCACAGTATTTTATATAAAATGCTTAAACATTTTTAAGCATTATATAAAATGCTTAAACATTTTATATAAAAATTAACATTCATTTAGATATAACATGAAGTGGGCTTCTACACGTTTAAGCTTACAATTGAAATACTATTTCCATTAAAAAAAAAAGTAAAGCAATAATCTAATAAATGAGAAAGAACACTATATCTATACCCCTAAAACTAATTTTACATATGTACATGTATATACATTTATAATATGCATGCATATACATATATAAATTTGCAAACAGTAGGTTTACATAACATAGCAAAATAACCATTACTTCAGCAATGTTATATAACTATGAATATACCTGCGGTTTAAAACGACAATTCCCTTCTCATGTCTTCCTTTTTCTTCCTAAAGATGAAAATAAATCCCATGGGCATTTTTCTTTGCTTGTTAAAAGTATACAATCTAATCTTTTCTTATAACATGAGAACCTAAAAATCTGAAGATATGGAGACAATCTGTGTACCCCTATCCCCCAAAACCCACTACATAAACACCAAAATGTTACAAAGCCCTAAAAGGCCAATTGCTAGTTACCTATTACACTGCTAAAACATTTATAGAAGCCACCTCATGATACTTTACAATGAGATATTTACAAATTTGTACTTCGTGAAATTCCATGCATCTAGAAAAACTAATTTTTAAATGATAAATTTACTGTTATTTACAAGGTTGTCTTGAATGTTGTCATGCA